AGAGGGCCATTCTGAAGAGCAAAAAGTTATTAGTTTATTTTTTTAATTATCACAGACAAATTAGATCCTCTGGTTTTAAACTCTGAAAAATGTTCAACCACCAGGGACAGAGGGGTAGTCTGCCCCTGTCCCATTTCAACCTCCTTTAAGAAAACACAGAACAAATAAAAGACAAGTGACCACACAAGAAGAGACACCAAAGCAGACAACACAAATATCTGACACCCAGAAGAGATCTTGTTCCAGTACCACAGATTGGAGGTGCCTCCGCCCCTCCCCTGAAGGGGGCTACTCTTACCAAAAAGCACCCACAGCCTGCCTGTTAGTTGGGGAAGGGCTCCTTCCTCAACTCCTCCGGCGCGTCTGCTGGTTTCCCGATCTGGCGCATCCACCAGTTTCCAGCCTTTCCTGATGGACCAGTATCCTTACGCAAAGGACACATTCTGGTCCTGCTGGCTTCCTGAACTTCCCTATCGCAGCCATCTTCACTCGTTCCGAATTTTCCTTTCCCGGCCAACGCACCAAATGTTGAGCCCGTGTTCGGAAAGGAGTGTCGGCGCGAGGAAGCCACCACTAACATGACAATGCAAAAACAAAAGGGAAGTTTATTTGCTAGCTCGAGCTAGGGTCTTTGCTTTTACTGACGCAGCGGTTTAGGCAAAAGACCCCATGCTCTCTTACTATTACATTTTTATAGGAAAAATATAGGGTGGAGTAGCACCAGGGCAAAGGGGTATAGATGATTGGTTGTTGCTAGGGGGTTTAGGGTAGAGCTCTGAGACGAGGGGGGATGTGCTGGAATCTCCGGCCCTAAAGTCCAGTTAGGGAATAATTACCTAGGGAGAATGTAAAGCCCTGATGAGTGGGAGACTTTCAGGAATCAGGTAAAGCTCTGAGACGTGAGACGTGCTGGGGGGGACATGCTGGAATCTGGAGGGGAGATAAAAGCCCTGAGACATGAGATGTGTTAGAATCCCTGGCACTAAAGACTCTGGTTAAAGAATTACCTGGAGGCCATTAGGACTCAGGCCTCACATTCCTTAGGGCTCAGGCCTCACAGTGGCACAACATGTAAAATGTCATCAATGTCCCTAAGCTATAAATGTGAAAGTTGTGTTGACAAATGTCTCGTTGTATATGTTTTCACTACAATAAAAGAGAAAAAGTGAAAAAACACCAGGCTTACTGGTCTGATGGAGATGGATGAAATCCCTGAGATTATGGCCCCTGGTCACCCTTCAGGCCAAGAATTGAACTCACTCTCCTGGCTTCCAGTAAAGCAATAGACAGACATATAAGGTGAACAATTACATCTTACTTTGGTGAGTAGTGACTGGGGTCTTAGAAGCTTGTAGTGTCCATGTAAGGTGCTATTTTTGGTCTTTCCCCATCTGAAGCAAAGAGTGAAGAAAATCAAAGATACAAAGAAACAAATAGTCCAAAGGACTAATGAATCATATGAAGCCCTGCCTCCCAGACCCCGAGACCAGAACTAGATGGTGCCTAGCTGCCACTGCTGATTGGTTTAAAGGGATCACAATAGGAGGTTCTCTGTAGAATGGAAGAAAAATGTGGAACAAAACTCAAAATCACAAAAAAGACCAGGCTTATTGGTCTGACAGACTGGGGGAACCCCAGAGGCTATGGCCCTTAGATACCCTTCAGGCCTGGAACTTAACTCACCTCCAGGCTCAATTTTCAGCCAAATGGCAGACAGTCCTATAAGGTGAAAAACAGAACCAGTAAGGACGCATTCATTGGAACAACCAACGATATGAGATCAACAGGGTAGCATTTGCTCAGTGATAAAGCTCAGGATAGGAAAGGATGAAGGGAAATTATAAAGACAGGGAGGAAGTGGGAAGTGTGCCTTTACATTGTGAGGACTGATCACATGTATAAATTATTGAATAGAAAACCAATTTGCTCTGTATATTTTCACGCAAATCACAATTTAAAAAAAAATATTTAGTAGACATAATACAAATACTCTGAATTCTTCATCAGGACCTTTCTATGTGAAAGTATTATAGGACAAAATTACGAATTTTTTTTCATTTTTAGTTAAAAAACAACCTATATGAAATTTCTAGAAAAAAAACAATTCCAAAGTCAGAAAGTAGAAGAAAGAGGGGAACAGGGACTTACCGCTTAATGGGTACAGTTTGTTTGAGGCAATGAAAAAGTTTTGGAGATAGTGGTTATGGTTGTGTGACAATGTGTTGTAATCAATTCAATACCACTTAATTGTACACTTAAAAGTAGTTAAAATAGCAAGTTTTATGTCTGTATCACAATAAAATGTAAAAAAAAAAATTTCAGTTGGCACAAGTAGATACATTATCTATACAGTCTAGATCTAAATGGGTTCACCAGTGTCCATTTTATATTGTGTGTTGCACCTCAATATATCTGAACTATATTTTTTTGTATGTATGAGATGTTACATAAAAATAATTTTTAAAAAGAAAGTAGCAAAAGAACAATTAATTTAGAAATTTGGTCTTAAAAAGAGAAGGAACAAAAAGAAAACCACGCATTCCCATGCCAGCAGTATATTTTTATTATTATTCATGAATGGTCAAAAGACTTACAAGACCTGTTATTAGTACACCCATATGTATGAAATGCCACTTAGCATGGAGTGAAAAGGACAGTATATATATATATATATATATATGTATATATTTAAAAAATACATACAACACATACACACACTCTCAAGGGCTCACCATACACTGCTACAAAAGCAGGAGGTAGCAAGCTGCAGAAGTTCCGAAGTTCCAATATACATAACACATCTTGAAATATCTCAAGCATAAAAACTGTACTTAAATTGCAAAAATAAAATTTCTTTCTTTAAACATTTTAATCTGAGCTCAAGCAAAGCAATAATGAACATCAATGATTTTCATACTTAATACACTTTAAAATAATCAACATAAATGGGTCTAGAGTTGCATAAATCCTGAAAATGTAGGTGATACTGGTATGAACAATGCATTTCTTCTACCCCACTCCATCTCCTCCAAAAAGTCTACAGCAGATCTGTTTCATCTTGGCTCTCAAGTATTTAAGAATCATAATTTATCATACTCAAACAGCAAGTTAAGCCAGAACAAAAAAATAAACAGAAACATCATTACTTCAAACAAGGCATCACTGCTCCTTACTTCCTTTAGATAATTCCACTAGTGCAAGAGCATCATTTACCTGAAAGATCCTAAGTGTCACAATTAAAGACCACTCATACAAAACTATTCCCTTTTTTTGTTAAAAAGTGCCACATACTATACTTCTCATTAAAAAACAAACACACACACACATATAAACTAATGAAAAACAGTTTGTCTCCATCTCTTGTCAATGAGGAAAGGCCAGAGTGATTCTTTGATTCCAATTCGAAATGGAGTTCGCTGACCAATGCCCAGGGTCTCTAATCTGGAGCAGTCAAGCTGAGCATTTCTTGGACGCTGAGCTCCTAAGACTGGACTGTCAGTAATCTTTAAAGAAAAAATTAAAATTAAAAAAAAAATAAAAAGTAAACAATAGGTAACATCTTAGTTTTATATTTTATATTTTGTCCTTAGCACAAGGTATCTAATTCAATCATATCTAGAAAATGAAAGTCCTGCCAAAATGAAGACAATACTTTTTCTACTAACTTTAATACTCATGGATTCCTTTACAGATGCTAAATTAGAGAAAAGTAGCAATATACAGTGCCAAATACAAGCAATATTCATTTTGTTTAATATCGAAAATGTTACCTAACATATCCAATGCAACCAGAAAAAGTTATCAATAATACTGCAGTGTCATAAATTATAGTGTGTGGCTTTTCTAGCGATAAGTCTTTGTAAATTCCATGGTAGAATTTGCCTTGAGCAACTGAGTAGCTCCTGATTGTTAGTTATCCACTTGGAGTACTTCTGTTGAGAGTGGCATGAAGCAATCTTCTGTGAAGTTCTCTCTCTCTCTCTCAGGTGTACAGAATTCTGATGTTGCGATTGGTTAGTTTGGCCACTCTGCCAGGCTCAAAAGAAGCCCTCCTAGAGGCAGAAGGGATCTCTCACTGCCAGCTGAGAGACGTGAGAGACACACATTGCTGAGAGAGAGATGCTAGAGACACTCACTGCTGGGAGAGAGACATGCACTGCTGGAAGAGAGAAACCGAGAGACATACACTTATTGAGAGAGAGAGATGCAAGAGACACGAACTGCTGAGAGAGAGACACGAGAGACATGCACTGCTGAGAAAGAGACTACTGGCTGCTAAATGAGACAGCTGGCTGCAAGAGACTGAGTGCATTTCTGAACTTGAATTGTAGCCTGTTGCTTCCCTAATAAATCCCATAATCTGTGAGTTCTGTGTGGCCACTGCAGTAAATTATCGAACCCAGCAGAGAGGTGGTGGGTGCTGCAGGAGGAATGGTTGGTGTCAGGGTTGGAGAAAGGGCTGGAGCAAGGCAGCATGTCTGGCCTCGCAGGGATAGGCCTTGGGCTACTGATGGTGATTCTGTCTTCCTACTGAGGGTTAGAGAAGGTCAGAAGATGTGGCCTCCCTGCCCTTTTGGCAAACACATACCATAGTGATGGATCTGAAGTTTCAAAAAGAGGGAAGGTTTGAATGCCATATACTTACAGGTCTCAAGTGGCTGCTGGGGAGGTTGAAAGCATCTGCAATTGCACATGCCATTTCATACTTAGTCATCTGTTCATTGCCTGACCAGTGAAAGGTTCCCTTAATTGACGGATCCTAAGAACAAGGACACAAAATAATTCAAGGTAATTTCAACTTTTTGAATTGAGTGGAATAGTATGTTTGACAAGAAAATTAATTATAGAGTTCCAGTAAGATGGCGGACTAGGCAGAAAGACCGCACAAGACCCTCTAATGGCGGACTAGGCAGAAAGACTGCACAGACTCTCTTCAACAAAGAAAAGGGAAACCAATTAACACAGACACAGAAGACAATCCTGGACCCCTGAGCCTTGAAGGGAAGGATATAGAAGTGGACTAAACCCCAACTAGCAGAAGAATTTGTGTGAAAATACCAAAAAAGGAGACATACAGAGCTGCGGTCTGGCAGTGATCCTAAGCGATCCTGATGGCACAGACAGCTTGGAGATTCCTGACTGCTGGTAGGACTTAAGAATTAACCTAAAAATCACCCTGTTAGTCAGGGACTGCACAGAGGACTGCTCTGGTAGCTCGGTAATAAACGGAGAAGGTGAAGAGAAAGGCAGGCTGAGCTGTGGACTTTTGCCATTCCGGAGGGCGCCGCCATTTTAAAAGTTTAAAAGCGGCCTATTTTGGATATTTAAAGAGACAGCGCTCTTGCAGATTCCTGGGGCTGAAGAACACGTTCTGCTTTCTAGCAACCCCAAGAACCCTCCGGACCTGCAAGACCAAAAAGGTACGACATTCCTCTTGTTACTCTTATACCCCACACCAGCCTGGTGAACAGAGGTGCGACCATCCCCCACTCCCACCTACCTTCTGGGCCCACAGGAACTCCATCATAGTCTGTGTGCTCAGATGGAGCCTGGGTGCCCAGCCCTGTCCTCCACCATTTTTCTTTTTTTCCTCTTTTTTTAAATTTTTTTTCTTTTTTGCTTTCTTTTTCTAGTGATTAGTTTGCTTGTATTTGTCTCTTTTTAAAACAACTATTATTATTAATACTTTTTTCCTTTGTACTATTAGTCTTAATCTTGCCCTCCCAGGTCCTAGTTTTCAGCATTTTTTTCTTTTCCCTGTTCCTGGTTGAAATTTTTTTTTTAATTTAAGTTTTTGTTTCTTTTTCCCCTTTTTTCCTCATGGTTAACCCTGTTCCTTATTTTTCTTTTTGCATTTTTCCCTTCATTATTCTCTTTCTCTGCTTTTTTTCTCTTAATGCCCTATCACCAGACATTGCAGGTTTTCTTGTTTTTGCTTCTTCTTTTTCCCTCTTTTCTTTTTTTGGTTACTGTTCCTGTGTGATTGCATGGTGTGATTTTTGTCCATGGGCTTTTAGTTTTTTAATGGTTATTCAATTGTAATTTGTGTCTAACTGAGTAGGAGAAAACAACAGTCCCCATAAGATACAACTACACCCACACCTCCTGCAACTTTACTTACTGAGCGACAGCCACTACCCTCCTTCTCCACCAATGGGCCAACGATAAAAATCCACCAAGAAAAGCCTGAATCACCCTTGGCTGCTCTTCACAAACAAGTTAACAGAGATCTAAATATAACAACACCACGATGCCTCAGAGACAACAGACCATCAAAGTCCACACAAAGAAGCAAGAAAAAGTGGTAGAAAAAAGGGAGTAGGATACAGACCCAGGACACATCCCTGAGGAAGCAGCAGCACTGGAACTCTCTGATAAGGAATTCAAAAGAATTATCTTTAGGTATCTTCAAAGGATTGAGAGACAGACCAAAGAAAACACAGAAAAAACTTTAGAAGAAT